CGGACTCACGATCATCATAACGAACGACTCACGATCATCATAACGAACGGACTCACGATCATCATAACGAACGGACTCACGATCATCATAACGAACCGACTCACGATCATCATAACGAACGGACTCACGATCATCATAACGAACGGACTCACGATCATCATAACGAACAAACCAGCGCTCGGTCCAGCGCTCGCACTCAGGGTCGCGAACGCGGAGCCGATCAGCGTCAAGATGATCGGCGCGAAGCCGAACAGCATGAAGCCGAGCACCACGGAGGAGCAGAGCACCACGGAGGAGCCGAGCACCCCGGGGCAGCCGAGCACCACGGAGGAGCCGAGCAGCAAAGGAATGTATTTAGGGGCGGAGATTTATTCAATCCGCGGCCGCCTCCTAAGGCGCGGCGCGGGTCCGCTGAAGAGACGGCGAGGGGCAGCGTGGGACCGGCGGATGGCGGCGGGCCGCGCGGGTTCTTTGATGGGGTTGCTGTCGCAGAGTACGCACCGTCCACAGCCCCCACCGACGTGGCAGCTTCGTCCGTGAGCAGGACCAACACAGCCGGGAGAAGTGTGGCGGGTCGTAGTGTGAAGAGCGTGAGTCCCCGGAGCGTGAGTGCGCGCAGCGTGAGTGCGCGCAGTGCGAGTGGTCGTAGTGCGAGTGGTCGTAGTGGACGAAGTGTTAGTGCGACACCGAATGGTTTGGACAGTGGGCGAGTGTATAGTTTGAGTGATTTCCGGCTGGTGCGTACTATTGGGACAGGTTCGTTTGGACGGGTGTATCTGGCGGAAGAGAAGGCGAGCGGAGCTCAGTTTGCGGTGAAGCGGTTGAGCAAGAGTGTGATAATCAAGATGAAGCAGGTGAACCACGTAGAGAGTGAGCGGGAGATTCTATCGCTTATCAACCACCCATTCATGGTTCGTATGTTTGGCACTGATCAGGACCGGGACCACCTGTATATCATCATGGAGTTTGTCTCAGGTGGTGAGTTTTTTTCTTTCCTACGACGCAACAAGCGTCTTGATAACGCTGTCGCCAAGTTTTACGCCGCACACATTGTCTTAATACTCGAATACCTCCATCATCGACGTATTGTTTACAGAGATCTCAAACCTGAAAACCTTCTCATGAATCAAAACGGCTACCTTAAACTTACCGACTTCGGCTTCGCAAAATATCTTGCTACCCGTACCTACACACTATGCGGTACACCCGAGTATATTGCACCTGAGATCCTCCTCAACAAGGGACATGGATTCTCCGTCGACTGGTGGGCACTCGGCGTCTTCATCTACGAAATGATCGTCGGCTACCCTCCCTTCTGCGACGAAGACGCGCTCGGAATTTACCAAAAGATCCTCTCAGGACGCATGCTATTCCCCAGATTATTTCCCAGGTAACTTAGACAGACACGCTACCTCATTCTCGCTACCTTAACTGCCCCTCACACATGTGCACACACCACTCCACATGTGTCCACACACCGTTGCGTGCTTCAGGGATGCTAAATCGCTGGTGAAGCACCTGCTCTGTCACGACTTGGTGGGTCGAATGGGTCATGTCCGAGACGGAATTTCGGACGTGCGAGACCATCGCTGGTTTCGGGGTTTCGACTTCAAGGCCTTGCTCGAATCCAGCTTGAAGGCGCCGTTCATTCCGCCCGAAACCGTGGGTGGTGCGAAAAATTTCGGGACCTACACTGAAGACGTCGAGGTCATCCCCATGCAAGGCTATGACCCTTTCGACAGCTGGTGAGGGAGCTTTTTTTAGTAGACAAACTCAAGACAGACTCCAGCCAGTCAGTGCCTCCAGCCCAAGAGCCTCCAGCCCAAGAGCCTCCAGCCCAAGAGCACTATCTACCAGGGAGGGGGGGGGCACCAAAGAAGGGGGAGGGGCTGGCCGGCATTCATTCAAAAACGCCTTGTTCGGAACGACCAGCTATTCAGTCCTTTTTCTTCTCCGCCTTCGCCAGCTCCTCCAGCGCCCGCATCACTTCGGGATCGTTCACGTCCACGCCCGGCAGCATTTCCGCCAGCCGCTTCATTTCCGCTGCCGACAACATCGGGTTCGCAGCAGGCACGGGTGGAGACACACTCGCGAACGACAGGTTCCTACACACACATGGTTACGCACATACTTACACACATAGGGCACGCTGGACACATACATGGACGGCACAGTTCCGGTGGTGCTGTAACCTACTCGGCAGGGGTTTCGAACTTTTCGTCGTCTTGTTTGTCTTCTTCCTCCGGTTGCTGGTCGGCAGACTTGGCTTGAGTCACTGGCTCCTGGCTGGGTGTGTCTTCCTGTGCCTGTCCTTCGGTCCGTGGGGCCGACTCCGCCGTTTGTAGCGATAGCAGAAGCGCGGTCCGGAGGTCTTCGTCCAGGTCCTGCATGCCCATGATTTCTTCCACGGTCGGCGGCCGGTCGTCCTGAACCACATGCACGCACGAATCTCCTGCCACTACGTTCGACGAACGCGTGGCGTCGCCGGGCTCGTCCGCGTCGCCGGTGCGCATGTGGGCACTCTCTCGCGCCTGCCGCTCGCGCTCTTCTTCCAACGACAGCCGCAAGGCCAGCAACAACTCAGGATCCGCAGTCGGATCCACGTCAACTACGATACATTACACGGTGAACTTTCACATAGTGTGTAACTTTTCACACGGTGTGTGACTTTCACACGGTGTGTGACTTTCACACGGTGTGTGACTTTCACACACTGTGTGACTTCCACACGGTGTGTGACTTTCACACGGTGTGTGACTTCCACACGGTGTGTGACTTCCACACGGTGTGTGACTTTCACACGGTGTGTGACTTTCACACGGTGTGTGACTTTCACACGGTTGTGACGTGGCTTACGGGCGAAGGGGTCGTCAGGATTGATGCCGGCATTCCCGGCGCCGAGGATGGAGGAGGTGGTGATAGCTCTGGTGAGGGAGGGACAGGGCAGTTGCACCTCCAACAGGTTGCTGGTGTTGTTGGAGTTCACTGTCTGGTAGAGCTTCTTGAGCACTGCCGAGTTGCGCTCCACTTCGCCAAAACTGACAATGTCCAGCGCCACGTTGTTCTTCTTGAGCGTGCGGCCCACTTTTTCCACGTCGCTCTCCGTGACGTCTAGCGGGCTGCACACGAAAATGATAATCCTCTGTCGCTGGTTGCGATTGAGGCGGTGCTTCAGGGCGAGCTGTGCCGTCTGGATTCCCTTCATGAGGTGCGCACTGCCATCGTCGGGTTCCGCTAAGCTCTGGACGGCCTGGTGGAACGACCGCATGTCGCCGGAAGGCGCAGCGCGGACCTTCACACTACAACACACTTCGTGCAACTCACCCACACTGTCTTGCCCACGCAGCATACCGCCCTCTAATGTGTATCACTTACTACTCTCCGCCTAGTGTAAGGAGACCAATGCTGTTCTCTGCGTTCGCCTGCAGCTTGGTAGTAGCTACGGTTAAGGAGGCTTCCTGTTGCGCTTGTAACCTAGATGGAAAATAGTCCTTGTTTCGCGACCAGTCAGAATTATCCACACACAGCATCACCGCCTCAAGCATTTTATATATAAATTTTCTCGGTTCCAGTCCGAGAGGAAAGGGGAGGGAGGGAGAGAGGGAGGCTACGGCTGAAGGGATTGTTTGGGAGACGTCGAAAGTCGTTACAGATGAAGTGCAATTTTTTGCAATGAATCGTTAGCTGATGGAGGGGGCCAGACCAGGCGTGAGTGAAGAGGCGGTCTGGCAGTGAAGAGGCGGTCTGGCAGTGAAGAGGCGGTCTGGCAACGTTAACGTTGACCCGATCCGGCGGTGGTCCTTCAACGAGGAAGGCTCTGTCGCCGTCAGCAGAGACAAGCACCACGCGGGCGGCGTGGTCGCAGTCGTTGTTTCTCCGATGTCCTTGTTCACCCCTTTGACTTCTCCCATTTGATCACCTCTCTACTACCTCTCTTGCATTGAAAGATTACGTCGGGATCTTTTTGGTGGACTCAGACGCAGTCAGTGATACAGGTTTGGTGCTGGTTAAGGTTGGGACATAGTAGCGAATGTTGAACAAGCATTGCGGGAGGGTGGGACTCTCAATCGGGTCATGTGAAATCTGTCGTGACGAATAGTGTGAAAAACTGTGTCCAAAGCAGAGAACCTAGCTAAGGATGCGTGATGGAGCAGCCGTGGCTCGCGGATCGATGGAGGAGTACGAACAACTGACCCATTATTGTTCCTGAGTTCTTGAATGCCTTGTTCCTGAGTTCTGTGTCCGATCCCACAAACCCATGTGTCGTACCGCCCTGGTCTGCTTCCACCAGTGTCAAACCGTCACGCTGCCGTCGTCGCCTACAGTGGGCGAAGCCTTCACTGCATGAGCGGTTGCAACCCCCAATAGTTGGCTTCTTTTTCTTTTTCCGCGCGACAGTGTTTTTGTCCCCAACAAAAATGTTGTGCGAGGTTCTGGAAGTGGAAGGATTGGCTCGGACGCCGTCGCCGCGTTGGCAGGGTCAGTGCTGGAACTTTGTCCGGGTGAGTGGGCTCAGAGTTTGTTCTTCCAGAAGGCGGATGAGGATCAAGTGGCTGAAGAGATCAGACGTCGTTTCGCGAAAGGTGGGGACAGGCGACTTCTTCAGCGGTTTGTAAGTAAGATGTGCTCCCCAGAAGGCCTGTGTACTGCAACTGCCGTGACCCGTGGGACGGTGGAGGAGTGTGAGTAATGGCGAGAGTTCGGAAAGGTCAGCGAGTGGTTTACTTCCACGTCCAAACGGGACCTGAGCGCAGTGGCCGTTCGGTTGAGACAAGCCAAGAAGGAGACTGTCTTGCCTAAATCTTGGTTTGCCTACCGGCCTGAGTCGGATCCCTCTCGCTGCCCCCCCATTCCGAGGCCATGTTCACCTCTGGCCTTGGCCCATTGGGCTTTCTACTTGGAGAACAGAGATGCCATGCCATCGGAACAATGACTACTGAGTCTCGCGTTGGAACCCAGCACAAGCGTTCATGCACGCGTGTGCGGACCTCAAGAAGGATTCACCACTGTTCACCGGAGACGTCCGGACCTGTTCGCTCCTCAACGCGAGGGCCTGCCCAACCCGTTCCACCGAGCGGTCGAACTTTGGCTCTTTCAGGACCAGTATGGTCATGCGGGTCTCGATCACCGAGTAGACGAGATAACTTGGCCCATGAGGAGCGACCTGTTGGCATTTCGGTATAAGCTCATAAAGGATCATCATTGGACCGTTAGCCAGGCGAGAGAGCTCTACAGTGAATCCCAAGTGGGGCCATGGATTAATTTAGTAGCATCAGAGGTAACTAAGGCTCTTGGCCACCGATACCGAGATGTGTATCAGAAGTGCCGGAATTGTTTGATTGCTGCTTACTTCCCCGGTTCGGGCTCTTGGGTGGATGTTTGGGACACTGAGCCTCACTTCCCAGTCGGGCACCGCAATGATTTCCGGCTCAATCGACTTGAACAGTACAGCCTCCATCGGAGAGTGTGGATGGAGGAACAACTCGTTCGTCGTTTCCTACATCTGCTTATCGATCAACATGTGGCCGATACCGGTCTTACGCAGGATGCCGTCATTAGCTCCATGCACAGACCCGGATCCATCACCTTCTCCGCTGAGGAAGAGACATTCAATCAGCTGTACGATCAAGCCTTGAATGAGACCATAGCCCAAGCGGCAATTGAGCAGGGCTATGACTACGCTTGGAGGGTCGCCTGTGCCGCAATCACAATCGTTTACGACGTATGGGAAATAGTCGGTACACAACAGGCTTACTCCAGTGTCCCCGAATTCACCGACAAAAACGACGCCTGGTTGTAACCGGTACCCTGTTCCGCCCTCAAGTCACAACCAGCCCAGTAACTCCTGGAAGGGATAATAGATATCCTCTTTCGACGTCTCATTGCAACGATCCTTCACTGCATGAGCGGTTGCAACCCCCAATAGTTGGCTTCTTTTTTCCAAAGTTGGGTTGCCGGCACTCTCTCATAAAGTGCTCTTCCGACACGTAGTGTCTCCCCAGCAGTCGGCCTACGTGGCCTATCACTCTACCGCCCAAAGCCATTGCCTCGGATCTCTGCGTCGCACTCTTCATCTCTTCATCTCCCGCTGCGTACCGCGACAACCAGTCCGCCATGTTATTCTTCTCTCCCGACAGGAACTCTAAGCTGAAGTTGAACCTGCTGAGCGCCAGCGCCCAGCGGAACACCTTCCCTTTGTCTACTCCCACAAGGTGAGCGTAGGTTGGCGTGATCTGTGCGTACGGTGAAATTGATGGAGCGCTACGTAGTCGCACCACTCTCTACAGCCCACTTGACGGCGAAGAGCTCTCTCTCTCGTATC